CGCCGCGGGCGGCCTGCACTTCGACGACCGCTTCTCCGACGAGCAGCTGGTGACCATGTCCGTGCGCGAGCTGAACCGGCAGCTGCGCGGGGTCAGCAAGGAGGAGGTGATCCGGCTGAAGCAGAAGAGGCGGACCCTGAAAAACCGCGGCTATGCCCAGTCCTGCCGCTTCAAGAGGGTGCAGCAGAGACACGTCCTGGAGTCCGAGAAGAACCAGCTGCTGCAGCAGGTCGACCACCTCAAGCAGGAGATCTCCAGGCTGGTGCGCGAGAGGGACGCGTACAAGGAGAAATACGAGAAGTTGGTGAGCAGCGGCTTCCGAGAAAACGGCTCGAGCAGCGACAACCCGTCCTCTCCAGAGTTTTTCATGTGAGTCTGACGCTCGATCCCAGCTAGCCACCTTGATAAGTCCTCCGCGGGGGTCCGGCTCGGGTGTGGGCTTGCTAGTTGCAGAGCCGCGCTGGCCACCACCTCGCCCCCTCCCCTGCCAAGCTCGCCCCCCTTGGCCCTACACACACACACACACACACACACACACACACACGCCCTGCTCCGAGTTAGTGGTGGTGGCGGCTGTTTTAAATTGGGGAGGGAACGGGTGTCTGGCTCGTGGATTGTCAATCTGAAATTCCCCATAACTTGCTAGCTGTTTTTTTTTACACTCCTCCTCCTCCTCTACTTGCACAATGTTCAAAGATCTCAGCAGAGTTCTTCATGTGAAATATTGCTCACCTTTGAAGCCTGCATCATCTGCATATTTTTCCCCTTCTTCAGTTCATGAGCTTGTGTTCATTTTCTGTGTGTGTGTGTGTTTTATTTTGTTTGGATTTTTCCCACTTAATTTTACTTTTTTTTCTTTTCTTTTTTTTTTTTTTTTTTTTTTTGGAGCTTGCTGTGTTGCCCAACCTCCGCCTCACTCCCTCTCCGCCTATCTCCAAGATTTAAAAAAAAAAAAGGCAAAGGTTTTTTTTTTCCTTCTGAGTTCTTCATGTGAGATTGAGCTTGTAAAAGAAAAAAAAAAATGTGAAATGTTATAGACTTTGCAGCAGCAGCTTGCTGAGTTCCATCGGGTTTTTAGCATTGTTATGCTAAAATAGAGAAAAAGTCCTCATGAACCTACCACAATCAAGCCTGCATCAACCTTCTGGGTGTGACTTCTGAGTTTTGGCCTTTTGATGCCAAATCTGAGAGTTTAGCCTGCCATTAAAAAAAAACACTCATTCTCATCTCATGCATTATTATGCTTGCTACTTTGTCTTAGCAACAATGAACTATAACTGTTTCAAAGACTTTATGGAAAAGAGACATTATATTAATAAAAAAGCCTGCATGCTGGACATGTATGGTATAATTATTTTTTTTTTCTTTTTCCTTTTGGCTTGGAAATGGACATTCGAAGACTTAGAGCATGGCATTCATTCTTTTGTTTTATTGTCTCATGACTTTTCTGAGTTCAAAACAAAACAAACAAACAAAAGCGCAGCCCTAGAGCCTTCTTCCCATGAAAGTTTTCATCTGCTCCAAAACTGCTCTGACTTGCTCAGAACTTCAGTCTCCCATTGTAAATGCACTGAAGGCATTCCTTGTCAAAGATACCAAAATGGGTTTAACACGGCAACATTAAAGAACTCTTATTAATGCTTTCCTTTTAATAAGAATGACGCCCCAGTTTGGGGACTTAAATTGTGCTGTTGCTGAAAGCAGTCTAAAATTTATTTTTTGAAGAAAAGAAATCTGCCCCATTATTATTTTTTTTTTTTGGTTTGTTTTATTTTTATTATTTTCTTTTGGCTTTTGGTCATTGTCAAATGTGGAATGCTATGGGTTTCTAGTATATAATTTAATTCTAGTTTTTATAATCTGTTAGCCCAGTTAAAATGTATGCTACAGATAAAGGAATGTTATAGATAAATTTGAAAGAGTTAGGTCTGTGTAGCTGTAGATTTTTTAAAAGATTGATGCACTAAATTGTTTACTGTTGTGATGTTAAGGGGGGTAGAGTTTGCAAGGGGATCGTTTAAAAAAAAGTAGCTTATACAGCATGTGCTTGCAACTTAAATATAAGTTGGGTATGTGTAGTTTTTGCTATACCACTGACTGTATTGAAAAAACCAAAGTATTAAAAGGGGAAACACCCCTGTTTATATCTGTAGGGGTATTTTACATTCAAAATGTATGTTTTTTTTTTTCAAAATTAAAGTATTTGGGACTGAATTGCACTAAGATATAACCTGCAAGCATATAATACAAAAAAATTGCGAAACTGTTTAGAACGCTAATAAAATTTATGCAGTTATAAAAATGGCATTACTGCACAGTTTTAAGATGATGCAGATTTTTTTACAGTTGTATTGTGGTGCAGAACTGGATTTTCTGTAACTTAAAAAAAATCCACAGTTTTAAAGGCAATAATCAGTAAATGTTATTTTCAGGGGCTGACATCCTGTCTTTAAAAAAAAATGAAAAGTAAATCTTACCACAATAAATATAAAAAAATCTTGTCAGTTACTTTTCTTTTACATATTTTGCTGTGCAAAATTGTTTTATATCTTGAGTTACTAACTAACCACGCGTGATGTTCCTATGTGCTTTTCTTTCATTTTCAATTCTGGTTATATCAAGAGAAAGAATAATCTACAATAATAAACTGCATTTTTTTTGATTCTGTACTCAATTTCTTAGTGTACAGTTTAACTGGGCCCAACAAACGCATGAGAAGTGTAAAGTGCATCCTTTTCTCCAGTGGAAGGGTTCATGGTGGAGTAGGGAGGCAATAATTCAGGGTGAAATTATGGGCTGTTTTGTGAGGCAAAGGGGCTGACCCCACATAATGAGTACTATTTAATATCTGTGTAAATTATGATCTCTCAATTTTTTTCCCTCCCCAAAGTTTTCAGTTTTGAAATCAGTTGAACCATCACTGCTCTTTGGTGAAAAATAGAAAAAAAGACAAAACAAAAATCAAAATAAAACAAAACAGTGGAGTTTGGCTTTCTGACCATGGCCCTGGGCTTGTGACCCAGGAGCATACCTATCTAGAGAAAGACCCATCCAAGACGGCTTAGGCACAGACGCAGTTAGTGGTAAAGATAAACAGTTCTTGTCTTTTTGACTAAGATTGATTATTTTTTCTTCTTCCCTTACACATTGTGATTTTCTTGTTAGTAAGGTCTGACAAGCTTGAACATAAACACTTTGGACGAATCAAAGTTGTTTGTTTTATTTTGTTTTGTTTTATTTTCCTTTAATTTTGAAGGTCATTTGTCTTAAATAGGAAAAAAGAATCCACACCTTACTCGAATAACTCCCAGTTCATATCTGCTTTAGAGGGTGTTATCAAATCATATTTCACTGTGAATACTTAGTGGAGTGTCTCCCACTTGGACAAGCTGGGAGTGATTTCAGATCATGTTATCCCCAGAAATATAAGCGGAAAATAATGCCTTCATGGAATGAATGCTATGCTTTGATTTATTGGTATCTACCCCAAAACGAGCTGTGTATGGGGGCTCACTTGGAGATCATTTGGAAAGATTTCAGCTCCCTTCCTGAGGAGAACTCTTAAGCATTGACCTATTTTAAACTGACACAAATTCATGCCACTAATGTTACAAATTCATGCAGTCTGTACTCTCAGTCAACTTCCCCTAGAAGCTAGTAGCATGTTAGACAAAGCCAGCACTGTTTGGAAAATATAGCCAAACACGATCACTTTTGTTTTATTTTGTTTTCAATTCTTTAAAGAGAGAGAGAGAAAAAGATAATATTGCAACTCAGAATGCAAGCCTTATTTTGGAGAAAACAGCTTGTGCTCGGCGCTGATGAGTCCTGGTCATGTTATCATAGGCCTCCTCCACTGCTCCACAGAACTCAGAGACAGTGTTTACCCTCTGCACGCTGACCTTCCTTTACGTGCCAGCTCGGATGTGGTTCCTGAACCCACACTTCATTTCGCTTAACAAAAGTCTGAATAGCAAACCTACTCCTGTGTCCTGGTAGTTAGATGTCCTCAATGTCAGAGATTTTTGCTTCTCTGATCACATCCAAGAGATACACCCTCCCTCTGAAGACGCGGAACTAGGTGTAGTATTTTTACAAAAAGCTCAGCATTCATGGAAGATTTTTAGGCACACACAGTTTCAAAATAAGAGTTACATCCAGGATGCCATCATTGCAGTTACTCTGTGAAGAGTGGGACCTGGATTGGGAAAATATATATATATATTATTATTATTATACAACAATTAAGCAGTTGGATAGAAATCTACAAGGCGGTTCATTATAATAAGCTGGTTTGGGCTCTAAGTCATTAGAAAATGAAGTAAAAAAAAATGCCACTCAAACTGGGCCACGGGTAGGATGGATTTAAGTGAAGGTTACTGCGTAGTAAAAGGCATTTTTAGAAATAACAGTTCCTAAAAACTTTGAAAGACAGTGAGCGACACGCACAAATAAATGCCTTTTTCTACAAAGAATTCCTAAATCCTCCCTAGACGCTGTAGGTTATAAGTAAGTCTCTAATTTTTTTAAAAGAAATCACGTAAGGAAATCTAGCTTTCCCCTTTACCCTGCATTTGAGTCTTTGTCTAAATAGTGTTAAAATTCCTTTCATTCCAATTACAGAACTGAGCCCACTCGCAAGCTGGAGCCGCCAGTGGGATACGCTACATTTTGGAAGCCCCAGCAACGTGTCCTTACCACTGTGTTCACAAAGTGAAATTTATGTGAGAGCTGTGCATTAAAAAATATTATTATCATTATTATTATTACTATTATTACTATTATTATCTGCAGTTTTGGAGAACAACTTACCCCTGACTTCCGCTGAGACTCCTTTTTAAAGAACAATTATTGTGTTAGAGAAGTTTATTAAATGTATAAGCACTGTACTAATTAACAATTAACTCTGCCTCTTATCCGAGGATCTGATACACAGAACCATAGGAAGAGGCACCCATGCTTTTTGATTTATGATGTGCACAACTGAACAGGTGTGATTGCTTTCAACCTGGAGTATTAGTTGTAAAAAAATCCACTGAAATTACAAAAATATGTTTATGGACGCATATATATGAAGAAAAGTTTCCCAAAAAGTTAACAGCTAGCATTTTAAAAGCACATATAGACATGCACATTTTAAACAGTAAATTTTCATGCTTTATTGTTTCGCTGGCAGAGAATGATACTAAGAAAAGAAATATTTGACTCTTCTCGCTAAACAGATGCCACTGGCAGAAGCTTTAGCTCCGCCTGGCACCCTGGTTTTCTCGTAGGCCCTAGATAGTACTATATGTATCTGTGATGTCAGACGTGTTCATTTATCAAACACAGCTGTAAATGAAAACAATGTGTGGCCAAAATACAAAGTTAGTTAAATACACACCCTCTGAGTGCTTTTTTTCCCCCTCCTTTTCCTATTCCCTGACTCACAAAAATTACCTCCTTTGAATTTCCTAGCTTTTTGCATGTTTCCTCTCTCGAAAACCATGAAATAATTTTTTTCAATGTATCTGACACATTAATCTATTGACATCAAATAGGCAGAGGTCCCGTGTCTGCCCAGCAGATAAATCTGCTATCTAGACATCAATTCCTCTCTGTCTCGGTGCCATAACCACCTGGGCCCCCTTTCAATCCAGACCGGTCCAATGGGAAATGCTGTATTTATTACCGAATGCACGATACTAACACACTGAGCTTTTCTCCTTTATACCTTTACCCCAGTCGTTTTTTATTTAGCAACATCAATTCTAGAGGCTTCTGTGCTTAAGTAGGACCTCCCCTTGCCAAGCCACCAGCTTTCCTGCTAAAAGCAGCGAGCAGAGGGCAAGTGGTAGCCACTCTGAGGAACATGGCACACAGCTGTCTCTGTTGCCACATTCCCCGCATTTCCTGGTTGAAATAGCTGAAGTCGCTGGTGACACATTCAGAAGTTCCTGAGCACGGGGCATAGCAGGGCTATCGTTTGTCTTTGCTGTTGTTTTGGTTTGGGCGGACTCACTTCCGCGTGCACAAACTCTTGGCCTGACGCAGCATCCTCCCGCTCTGTACCAAACCAATCAATATATGTAAAAGTCTGATCGCCACCTGAGTAGCTCTATTTTTTTTTTTGGCCCACCGGTAGTTAAAGACTAACTGAGATAGAACGGAAGACTAAAATACATGAGTGACAACCTTCCGCCATCTGACTCTCGTGCCAGAAAAGCACTCACTCGAGAACTCTCAGCCTAAGCTCGCTCTGTGAGAGGGGTAGGTAGGAAGGCAGCTTCACCTGCTGTGGGTGGCTGATTTGCGCAGCTCCCACTATGATCCACTTTCATTTGACTGTTTTAAAACAATGACTTAGCCCCCTTCTTAGAAGTCTTCTTTTCCGTTTTTTTGTTTGTTTTTTTAATTTCCCCCCTTCTTTGGTTTGGTTTCTGTTTGGGGGCCTTTATATGGGGGATCTTTCTCTGCAAGGATTGGCTGTGATTCTCACCCATGTGGGCTACCCTTCACGATGCTGAATGGATGGATAGTCCGGGGCCTGTACCTTCCTTGATGATCTGAGGAAAATAAGAGAAAGTCTGCAGCTTGTTTGCATTCCTAGCCCATCCTCAGCCTCAGAGATGTCCTAGTCCAGAGCAGCCATCAGGGAGGTGGTCCAACGCCCGGCCATCAGAAACCCGCAGCTTTGTTTCTTCTTACATTTGTTCAAAAACAGAGCAAGAGATTTAGCCCACCTTCCCCTAACACAGCTTTTCTTGCTTTTGATATAAATCTTCAAAATCCAGACATCAAACAGCTCCAGAAAGGGGAATTCTCTGCAGGCACTGCTCCACCCCAGCTCCTGAACAAACCCAGCTCTGTTTGGCATTTTTCTCTAGCAGGGGTAGGGGACAGGGTGAGAGAATTTCAGTCTCCCAGGCTGTCTTGTGATTGTTGGGGCATAAAGAAGTACAGTCCTGCCACAAATTGGGAGCATATTTACGCTTTAGAGAGGAGCAGAACAAAACAATAGGAAACAAACAAATCAAATCGCTCTGCACCAAGGCAGAGCGAAGCCTGGGACCCCATTCCCTGAACCATCTGTAGCAGGCGAGAAAAGAAGAAAAGGAGAAAAAAGAGGACGTGAAAGGCAAGAGTCCCAGGAATAAATAACCCCAGAATATTACGCTTGCACAGTAGCAAAAACAAAGTCAGAGCTAGCATACACATACGCCAGGTACAAACCAGGTCCATTTCTTTAAAGTTATCCACACGTACTTTGCATTTGGGGAAACAACTTTGAGGACCAACCCAAAATGGACAGCTTGGAGGAAAACACGAATGTCTGAACTTTTATAAACATACCAATCTGTGATTCGATGGTGACAGCATTTTGGACCACTCAGACATGCCAATATTTATATGGTCACTGCACTGGATTGGATGACATCACAACAGCTTTTTATTGTTTAAATTTGAAAGCCCTGTGTGTGTTTTCCATGTCTGCCCAATAGAACAAGGCTGGGAGAGAAAACGCCTATCAGCAGCACACAGAAATCAGGTCTTTGTACGTATTTGCATCGGAGTTGGACGATTTTGAGAAACTCCCCAAAGCACATTTCCCATAGGGAGGCTGTGGCTGGAATTCAGAGCTCCTTGCTCAAATCAGAATCACTCCTGAGCGCCTCTTCACTTGTGCAGCCCAATTTATTTTCTTTTGCTTCCTTTTTGCTAAATAGTATTTTCCTTCCTTATACTTAGAATTTGGGGTTGCAAAATCACATTCCCCCTTTCTGTACAGATTCATCTTGATCTTCAGTTACGATTAGAAAGTGATATTAATGCAGGAAGAGAGGAAGAAAGGAGGGTGTCTGCCGAGGTTTGGGGGAAAAGGGGGTGGACAGGAAATAGTTCTCGGTGTTCACTGCGTGCACACACACACGCATACACACACGCACACACACACAAACATATTCAGACTCTCCTCAACCCTCCCCCCTCCAGCCTGCATGTTGGGGATTTCACTTCTAAATTTCTCCATCCCAAATATTCTGATTTCCAGGCTTGCCTATTTCCAAGCTAGTATCCCACAGAATGGTTTGTGTTTGGTTCTTTAGTTAAGGAACAGGAAGGGCCAAGGAACCTTGCTGAACAGGAGTGAAACCATGATCCTTCCAGAATCTCCACAATGACTGCTATAAAAGTAACACTGGCCTGAAAAATCAGAATGAGGGTGCAAATTTGCTTTTCACAACCAGTATTTGCCCTGGTTCCTTGGGGCCACTTCCATTTCTGCAGGGCTGCGGAACTGGGTTCCTGGTCTCCTCTGGGGGATATGCCAGAAGAAAAGCAGGCCTGAGGCTCCCAAGACAATAGGAGACCCCAAACTACATGCAGAGAGCAGAGGAGAGGAAGGGGTGTCAGCGCAGGGCTGAGGAAAACATTACAGAAGCCAACCTTGGCTTCTGACCCCCAATCACCAGGGGGCAGCTCTGGGCAGCTCCAGGTCCCCACTGCTCACCAGGAAGGCTCTGTTTACAGCGTGACTGATAAACCACTGACAGGCCCTGAGCTCCCCACAGAATGTTAAAACTAGTGAGGTCCTTAACTCCAGAGCTGGGGCCCCTCCCCACCTGACCCCTGTCCCACCCCAGTGTCCGCTCCATAATTTTCAGCACTCCTTCTTCCCATGCCTGGTCACCAAGGGCCATGAGACTGTTTGAGAGAGCGCTGCCCTGGGGTGAGAAAGCTGCCATCATAGCTGAGGGCTTGGGCCCCCTAAGTCAGAGAGTTGAAATGCAGACAAAGGCAAGGATGAGGGGAGATCTGGAAGGCTATTCCTGAATGTTTAACAGGGCTGGAGCTTCTGGTGCCCTGGGTTTGGTAGCCTGGAATGAGGGGTCAGCAGGCAGGGAAGATGCTGAGGGTGGATAGGCCTGCTCCTATTTCCTGCACAACCCCACATAAAGCCTCCGCCTCGTCCCAGGCTTTTTACACAGCCGCTCTGCGGGGGCCCAGTCTTCCCAACCCTTGCTGCCCAAGTTCCCTGGCTGGAGATAAGTGGATCCCTCCCTGGGTGCTTGCCTCAACTCACTCTGAATCCTCTGCCTGGCGCGCAGCAGGTGCGTGCTGACTGCATCCAGGCCCGGCTGGGAACCGTCCGAGGCCACCGGGAAGTCCCTCAGTGCCTGGCCCCCAGCTCCAGCCCCGCCGCAAAGCCCTGGGAGGCGGGTGCGCTTGGGAAGCAACGCGCAGCAGCGTCTCTCCGCGGGGTGCCCAAGACGCTCGCAGCCTGGAGCGCGGGGACAGCGATGGCCATGGCGGGCCCACCCAACGCAGGGGCCTCAGATTTGTACTGCAGTTCGGTTTAAATTTGCCAAGAGGATGGCACTGGCCTGAGCTCCCCGGGCCAGCAAAACCGCCCGCTGCGCCTTGCTGCCAGGTGGGCGCAGGGTGGGAGGGAGCGGAATTCAGACCTCCTAGGCTCCGCCATTCCCTTTGAGACCCCTACCCACCCGGTCAGCCGGCCAGCACCTTCTGTAAATAGGATCATCTTCTACCCATTTAATTTTTACTTTTCCGGCCCATTTTCCAGATCCTCTCTACCCGCTAGGCAGGGGTTGGGGTGTGTGTGGGGGAATTTGGCTAAAGACAGAATCAGAAGGAAAAAGAGAAGAGAAACAGGAAATCTCGACAACATATTTGAAAACTGTGATAGCGGTCTCACTCTGGTTTGGGCTTCCGGGGTACGTACTTGGATGCACATTATAAAGCAAAGCCAGCCAAGCGAACTTTATTAGGATTTCTCCAACAACTCCAGGATGAGGGTCCTGCCCACAAATCCCAGCACTCCAGAACGGTCTCTGGGGGCAGACGTTCGGATTGCTCATTTCAGGAAACATGCCTTTTGTGTGGGGCTTTTTTCTCTTCTAGGGACCCTGGCTTTGTGAGCTAGTTGAGTTAGGCAAATATCAGCACATCTTCATAAATAAATCTTTTCTTTTCTTTCTTTCTTTTTTTTGGGGAAGCACTGTCCCTCTCTCTTAGGGAAGAGATTTATTGTAATGTGCAGATAAATATTTTGAAACTAAGACAATGATGTAAGCATCCAAGACACTTTTACACTGTCAGAGTTTTAAAAATCCTTCTTGATACAACCCGAGGGGGTGGGAATTTCTGTGGTAGTTATTTTGAGACTGAACCTATGAAGATACAATGTTTGTGTCTTTCCATTTTGGGAGGGGGCAACGAATTCAACCTAGTCTTTTTGACATTTGTTTATTTATTTATCTCTCTATCTATGGCTCCTTTAAGTAACACACTGCAGAGGGGGAAAGCTCTGAAAAGGGAAATCTGCAGTCTGCATTTTATGGATTTAAAATGGTCAAGGGGCAGCGTTAATCAGTCTGCTCTGT